ACTGGTTATCACACACCTGAGAGTCTGGCTGCAATTTATAAGCCAGGCAGCTTTATTTGCTAAGAAAAAAAAAGAGCAATTGCAATGTGGATTATTTATTTCAGATCAAGGTTGTTTAAACAAATTGTTGGCTTGCATTTGCCCCAGAACTTGGTACTCTACCTGCTTGATGCTCTGGTTCTGGGTACGCAGATAAAGCAGTATAAGTACACCCTAGTGACATTTTATTGAATAGTATGGGCCAACATGGGTAGTTGATTTGTTTGCTCATGTGTAACACAATTCCAAATATGTCATGTGCTAGGGGATGCTGTAACCCTTCCTTGTATATGATGCTCTACTAATTGGGCAGGTACTCAATGTTGTGGAAAATGAGAAATTAGATTACTCTTGGAATCACATTCTGCCAACTTAAAATTCGGCTTCAGCAAGTTTGCTTGGCACTGACTTAACAGGAGTGTTTTGAAAGCATGGTTGCATGTGGCTGGTGTGAAATAAATAGGAAACTGGGACAGAAAGCTTGAAGAACTGATATTGGGTCCTAGGGGGATAAGCAAAACAAGAAGAATCTTTTTTGCATTCCTGGTATTATCGATGCGTGGCTGCTGCTTAGTGAGACTACCTTCAGAGTCTGTTGCTGGTTTTGAGAGGCAACAGACCATGCAAGAGCAGCTATTCCACAAAGCTGTCATATCCAGGACTGTGTTGTGTGACTGATGAGCAGGTACTCATGGAAGCAGGAACTAAATCCAGATGTTTAATTTGCTTAAAATCAAAGAGAATCATTCAAACTATGACTTCTGAGAAGGAAGTGGAAATTATATCAAGAAACCATCATTTATCAGCAGATAAGACAGCTTATCAACCTAGGGAAAATGGCACAACTCATATGTAGCTGTCAAACAGCAAAGCAGTATGGGCCAGATCTACGTCTTTAGCTGCTAAATAATTATTTAGGGTCCTGAACAGCCTAGTGTCCCCTTACAGTGAAGCAGAGTGCTGCTGGTAATGCTGGGTGATCAGAGCTGCTCTGACATGCTCTGAGCACACCACCAGCACGCAATGCAGACATAGGTCTATAGGGCAAGTGCTGCAGCAGTAATCTCAATATGAAATATCTTCTTTATGTGCGTATTTCACAGATCTGAGTTCCCTGATTGTCCATAACACGTATTTTAGTTTGATTATCAAGCCTCTGCAAACTAATGAATCATTCGGGCTGATCCCTAGTTACAGTTGCAGGGATAATCAGCTCCCCCAACAGAGAGGGGAGAGAGACCACTTCTTTAAGGCTGCATTGATGAGGGCACTCTCCATCTCAGGGTGCAACCCAGCCACCCTGCTGTAAAAGCGCTATTCTGTCAGGCAGCAACATGACCCCATCACTCTGTTAGGCACTGTGTTGGACATTTTTTTCTGTCAAAACACTCATAGCAGGTAAGAGATTAACTCATTTGCAAAAAAAAAAAAAAAACCACATCCTGCTGACATTGAAGCTTTACATGAAAGGAACATTTTCTCAACTTAAAAAGAATTTTTTTCAGTGTCTAAAAGAGCTTCCAGGCTGTAATTTGTTATAATTAGACTAGATGAGGCTGATACTGGAAGGAGGCAAACCAATTAGTTTGGAATGTCAATTTTTTTTTGCCACTGTCAAAGTCTGTTAAAGGACCTTGATGGATTGCTGGGTTGGCTTTTTCAACATGATAATCCTCATGTGAAAGAAGGCAGGCAGTTGGGTGCAGAGAAGCACATTGCAGTCAGTGTTGAAAAAAAGGCTGCACCTGCCAACATGCTGCTTGGAGATGACAATGGTGTTGCAATGTCTGAGCTGTGGGCAACTGCAGGGAGAGGTGAAACTCAGGATCCAACCATGGAGAAGAGACTTTCATGGCAGTTGTGAACAAAGAAAGCCTTTACTCAAAGTTGTTTGAAAGGGACAAGTCAGCAGTTGTTTGGGCTAAAATCTGCCATTTTTTGAGCCAGACTACAGACTTTTGAGTGGCCCAATTATGTGTTCTCAGGTTTTAAACAAGAAAAATTAGTATTATCACATGCTAACCAGCAACCATACCCCTAGCTTCAAACTCTAATTATTAATATCTTATAAATGCCATCGTCTTTATAGCATCTTCTGCAGTACTGAAAAGAAGGAGTTATTGGATAAAACTGGATATAATTCCCATGATTTTAATTGGTAGAGCTCTATTATTTAGTTTAAAATTATTTATAAAATGTAGTTAGTGTCATATCGTAGCACTAAAAAACCCCTTTCAGCTAATCCAGGCTCTGAACTGTTTCATTTTAGAGAGCACTTTCAGATCAAAATTGAACTTCAAAAAATTTATTTATTTCAAACTTTTGTGTAAAAAATCTCTATGAATATGAAAGAGTCCAAGCAGTAATTCCAGAAATTGTACTATATAATCACTGTATGTCACTGCACCAGGGAAAAACTAGTTCATTTCTTTCTATAGTTTTTGTTTTCAGGTCCTGAAGACATCAGCTGCTCTTTTACAGAACTGGCAGTACCTGGCTCAGTCCTGGGTGAACATGTAGTGCTATATTTCTGTAGTTACATCTCCAGTTTTTCTGTCAGTTGAAGTACTATGGCAAATCTGATTCTCTGGGAAAAAACTGAATTAAGCAGAAACTTGAGGAAAGGAAAAATAAGTCTAAAATTTTGAAGGATAGATTTTCAGCTACCTTAAATTGTAAGAATATGACTTACTAATGCCACCAGAACAGTTTGCAGCAACTGATAATCTCTAAAGTTTTAAGATTGTCAGCAAATTCTGTTTTGCTGTAAAAACCTAGTCATTTCCTGAAGTTGCCTGTTACAGTAAAGCTTAAGAAAACTATCCAAGTTTATTTAGAAAGTTAACATTTATTCCCTACATAGCTGGCTCATCTGGGACCCACCTAACACCTTATTGAAAGTATATTTTATAAAAATAAAGGAACTACTGCTCAAGGCTTTCTACAAAAATGTTAGCCAATATCTTCTACTGTATTGGAGGACACAGCAATTAACATTCAAATCCACTTATTATTCTCAAGGTCTTTTTCCCCTAACATGTACAAGTTGACTGATACTATTTTGTGTGTTTCAGTCTAGAAAAGAATGACAGTTCCTTTTGGCATTGCCATCTGCCTTTTGGCTGCTTCTAATGAAGACAAATCCCTCTCAATCAGGATTGTTCTGTTCGTTAAGTGAGACAGATGGCACACTCACTGTATTAGTAAAGATTCTGAGATTTTAAGTGTATTTGGGATATACTGGATTGCATTCCCCAGCTAAAAAGTGATCAATATTTCAAATGGAAGAGAAGTCAGGTTCTGTCTTTGCAATATTTTTGTGACACATACACAGTTCTGAAGGACTTACACAAAGACAGGTTTTAGACACATTCAGACAAATTTGTAAAACATGGTCCAGCAGATATGTCTGTCTTGGTAGAAAATCAAATACATACTTCCAAACAGTGTCGAACCTGTGCAACCAAGGGGAATGTAGTGCTCCTTCCTGTTCCTCCAATGTGGTCCTGAGGGGAGCACTGAGTTCTGTTAGAGGCCTTTAATTTGCTAACCCATAATAATTAATGCAGGGAAATTAATGATGGACTGTAAAGACCAAAAGGGGAACAGTGTTGATAATGGGAATCATTGTGCTAGGTGCTACATCCTGGCCTGTCTCTGTACTTGAGAAAGTTGAAGCAAGATGGCTTCTGGAAACTGTCAGACACTGAAAGGTGCTCAGGTATTCCCATCTCTGAAGTTCTGGAGCCATTACAACACAAGACTGAACACACTGGCTGGGTAGACATCATCACTGTTTAAGGCATCATGTAAAAAAGAAAAATAAGCTGTTGGGCTAAACAGAAGTAATATATTATAAAAATAGATAAAATGTGTCTACCTTATTGAAATATTACAGATATAAAGCAATCCACACTGTATCTTTTTCATGATGCCTCAAAATTTATATTATACCTATTAATTTTGTGACATAGTACTTGGGTTTTAGAGCTAAGATGAGGTTTTCAAGATGGGACAAACCTGGTACTTTGCAATATTCTAGAATATAGGAGAAAGGAGCATATGAGGGAACACACAAATACATGAGAACAGATGGCATCTTCATACAAAGTATCCCTCTTTCTGGCCCAATCCGACTTCACACACACAGTCATACCATCTGAGGTATATCCAGTCCCAGAAATACTACTGAAGGTTCTTTTTCAGTTGCTGTTTCTTGTTGTCTTTCTCTTAATACTTACTTCATACTCGGTTTCAGGGAAGGTTAACCAAAGTTCAGGTTGTGTTTTCTCCGAAGTTGGTGACGTCTTTGAGTTAACTAGCTGGAAAGCAGATGGATGCATCACAAGACTCTTGCTGCCTGAAAATGATAGACTCTACTTCCATTGTATTTCTTACCATCCCCAATAGATTCATATTGGTAAATAACACAGATTTTAGGAGGGAAAGGATCAAGACAAGCTTTCGTCTAGCTCTCATCTGCTCAGACTTGACAATACACAATACAAAGAAGACTGCAAATTTAGGATCTAAATGTTTAGATCAGCTGAAGATTGCCTAGGGTATTTATGAAGGAACTCGGAGGACCTCTGTTCAGTCTCTGGTGGAGAGGTAATGAAACACACACCAGAAGGAACGTCCTTCCTGACAGTCCCCCCAAAGAAACCATGAAGTTAAAATAGTGCAAACCCACAAACAGTCCCAAAACCCCAATGGGGACACAGAGGTTCTGTAGAGACACATGACTTTCTGGGGCATACAAATCTACACAGCACTTTATATTGTAATTAAGAAGAAAAAAATAAAATGTTCTGTTAAAAAGACTGCCAGTTCTCCAGAGAAAATAGCTTTGTGTATCACTTTATGCTAGTGGTGACAGAATAGAAAACAAAATACCACAGTTACATACATGTTCTTTGTCTAGAAGTATTTACAAATAACTTTACAAATTTTTACACACATTTTCAGTTTTGCTTGTTTACTTTTAAATTAAGAGGAAAATTAGTCCCCAGAGGCTTCTAAGGCTTCAGTTGGTACCTTGTACTGTACATTCATGCTTGGCTTCTTCCTGGGAGAAGGGAGGAAAGGAGTTTAAAAATGTGCAAATCACAGACATCTAAACAGCCCTGGATGTAAAGGTTCCTAGAGACTGACACCCATAGAGCAGTCGTCCTACTTCTCTTCAAATCAGAGATAGCTTCTGGTGGTGGATTCAGGGCAAAAGAGACTATGAAAGGAAAAGGAATCATATCTGAATTGCTATAATTAGGTGAGTATGTTAGTGCTTGAACATCTGGGTAAGAAGAGTCATAGATCAATTCCTACCGCATTCAGCAGTTCAAACAATGCAAGGAGTGGACATTGTGAATTCTAAATATAGCATTGAAATGATCTCTTGCACACTGTTAGGATTTGACTCCTGCTGCATATTTTGGAGTCAAAACTACTGTTAATTTACACAATCTTGACCAGGCACAGTATGATCCTATCAGTCAAAAAATACTGACATTGTTTAGAAAGACACACCCTTCTAGTTTTCACAGGTTGTTTTGTTTTCATGCCTCAACACTAAACGTTGTAAAAATATTGAAATTAAAAAAGAAAAAAATTTACAATTTACAAGTGTCCTTATAAGTAATCAGAAATTCAAGATCATCTACAAAGATCTACGAAATAACAACGCAGATAATGACACTGAGCCTGTGGGAAGAACGTTCCACATGCCGTGAGGAACGGATGGTGGGTTTCTTCCAGAACGATGAGTCACAAGTCTTGTCTTCTAAAATCTGTTTCTTCAGCTACAGCAGCAGAAGTCTTGAGTCCATGTTCATTACTTACTTCGACCTAAAAGCAGGAGATATGCATTACTTACAAATGAAAACTTATTCTGTTTACCTCCTAATTTGTGAGCTGTAAATTCATACCAATGGACAGGTTAGTGACTAATGAACAAGTGGATAACTCTCATCTGGTCACTAATTTCCTCAGCTGTAAGACTCACATATAAGGTCAAGAACGAATAATTAGGTACAAAGCAGTAGCTTTGTATTATGTATACCACAAAAGCAAGAAACACTTGGGGAAAAATCCCACAGCTGGTGAAACATGTCTAAAGCTCACACAATAACAGATTCAGTTTAGCATAACATATTTTAACAGTGTAAGATGCATTTTCAACTGGTTGTAAAATTCTGACATCACCTGCTTATAAACTTGTGCATTTGAGCTGGACTCACACTATTTATAGTTCTCACCACAACACACGTGCTGAATCTATGTGTTCTCACATGACTCCCTGTACATCACGTTTACTTGTGTAATCTTGAAAAATCTATGTTGGTCTTTCAGAGCAATTTTAAGATGGGTAAAGTCTCAGGGGAAGATAAAAACAGGATGGGATCACACAGGTCCATCACAGAGTAATAACCTCTCCACTGTCACATTTTCTCATACACTGAATCAGTTCCACGAGCAGAAGTTAGCAATATTCTTAGAAATGCTAGGGACATCCCTAAATGGAACTAGGGATTCAGTCTGTTTAGATATGGTTGCCCAAAGCTATAGTAGTTTTATTTTACTATATTATTATTATTACAATCATCATAATAATTATAATTACTATATAATATTATTATATTAGTTTCTGACACTATTATTGTGATAATATATTATTAATGTATTATAATACAGTTATTATTAATAAGAATAAAATCTAATGCAAACCAAAATGCAACTTCTTATTTTTTTCTTCTAGTAGCCATGCTCCTGTCTTTTCCAGTGGCAGTACATGAAGCAATTCTAAATACTACAGAGTGACCAGACTCTTGACACAGACAAATAGACACAACAGTCTTCTTTATAGTCCTGGTGCTTTAGTCTCAAATAGAACATGACAATTTTTTTCCACTCTACTGTTGTCACCTGCCTTATACACATCTCAGTTGAAACTCTGTGATTCAGGGCAATGATCCTGCTTCTTGTCCCGTAGCCTAATGGAATTATAGCCAGAACAAAGAGCAGACAAGCAAGCTATGATGATTCATATTTGGATTAAAATTTGTTCCCCATGGGAACAAGTTCAAATTCACCCCTCTCTGAGGGGTGAAAAGGAAAACTAATTTTAGTCTTGCTAATCATTAGTAATTATGGTAGTACTAAGTAAAAATTATACTGAGTATGAGTACTTGATAAAAACAGACTGTCTTCCACATGGTTTGGATGAGACCACAGTCTTGTATTTTCAATGGGTGATGCCTAGTTAATTTATGAATGAAATAAGGGAAATAAAAGGGATGAGAAAAATGGAAATATAGCCAAGCTTTAATCTATAAAATAACATTTATGAAGGCTTTTAATGTATTTTTACAAGCATTATTCATGTTCAATTCTAAGGGAACAGAGATGGAGTTTTGCACAGCCTGGGCACCAGAAGTCACATTTATAAGGGATACTGTGGATTCTCAGACTATATATAACTGATATAGATAGCAATTCACTCATCAAAGGAAGTCAAGAAGGGAAACGAGCTGCAGAGAGATAAGCATCTGCAAATTTCTGGCACAATCCACTGACAAAGTTATGTCCACCAATTTGGCTTTTAATTCAAATTTTGATCACTGATAGTAATTTTCCTCCCAGCTTATGTAAAGATACTCTCTGTATCTTTCAATACATAAACCCAAAACATCAATAAAGAAAACAATACAATATAGTTTCCCTCTCAGTTTTATATTTCTTGAAGCAATAAAGAAGCCAGAGAGGGTCCTCCCAGCTGTACAAGAATACGCATACATGGGAAATGGGAAGATGCCATCTATTCTCCAGTATCAGCTCACCAACAACTCCGAAATCCTTTGAGCTACTTATCGAAAATCTGCCAGCAAAGAACAAATTATCAGATGTTGTGTCTCTTCTACTGCAAAACAAATTAAAATATTTTGCAGGAATGTATTTTAAGTTTTCTGTGAATATGTCTTTAATTATAGTAAGTTCGCTAAGAAGGTGTTAAACATTTATTCACTTAATTCTTACAACTAACCTGAATGCAGATTTAGAGATTAAAATCCTTCACAGAGAGGTATAAATGCTGTAGGTGCAGCTTTCTTGCTTCTGAATAACAGTTTAACTTTTTCCTCTGACAGCTTATTCAAAAGGGTCAAACTCCCATTTTGCAGTTGTCTTTCCCACAGAAAATGCAGCAAAATTGACATTTAATGAAATATTACTGAAAACCATAGATTTCAATGTAGGGCACGTACTTAATCAAAAGCCAAAATGTTCATGTGGTAATGTGATATTTCTTCCTGTTCTAGCATACACCATGTTTTTGGGCCTTCATAATCCTAAAATGTTTAGCTAAATATTTAGTAAATTTTGTCTGTGTTTATTTCTACAAACTGAAAGCTGCATCATGAATAAAATATATTTTTAAAACATGCAAAAATTAATAAAGTCACAAACTTTAGGTGTCAAGTTCCAACTCAAAACATTTGGTTAGCAACTGTCCACTTTAAATTAAAACCCCAAGTACATGTGCACATGCATACACCAGGAAAAACCTTCAACCCATTTTAATTCTGTTAACTGATAAATAAAATACAGTAAGTCATTAAATCAGTTTCAATTACCTGTACATGGGTTTCGTGTTGCATTTAAGATGCATGAAAGGCCCAAAGGTAAATTTAAAGACAGAAAGCAACAGCACAACTTCCAACCATATAAGAATTTCTAAATTAACATTTTTTGGTTTACCAATAATACTTTGCAAAATCATCTATTTGAAGTGATACAAGCTTCTGCTAAAATATATGTACTAGTAATGTCTCCCCATATCTTAATTTATTTCAAATAAAAAGAATAGATACGCATCCAAACTTATTCATTAGGTAGCAGAGCAGGAAGAGTCTATGAAAACATATGATTTTTATGGTGTGAGCAAATAAGTGATGACAAAGAGATAATGAACTTCCAGTGAAACTTGACAGATAGTTAGATTTTAAGCTGACTAGCAGTTTTTCAGCAAACATTTTTCTTTCAGTAGCTAGACAAATGTAAAAGCTTCTGCTTTTCTATAAATGGGTTAATCTCATTAAGATTTCTGCAGCAGCAGCAGCCATAAACCAGCTCTTTTCTTGCTAAAAAGTCAGCAGGGAATCAATTCCATCCTTCACTGAGAGGCTCTCCTTGTGTTAAGATGAGGCACAACATGGCAGACATGGTGCTATCTACTAATCCTTGTTTTAGCGGGTATGTCATCAATGACAAAGTGTCCTTACTCAAATGTTTTATCCGGATTAATTTTTAATTAAATTCTAATTAAAATATAATTAAATTATAAGTAATCTGATGCCGAAATTATTTTAGGAGAAGGTTAGCTTTCAGTTCAGTTAGAAGGATTAATGTAGTCCATAGGACCAGAACCTTACCTATAGGCTTTACAGGCTTTAACTCAACATGTTCCTGGGGGGGCTGTCGGTAGGAGTATGTGTCAAGTCCGCCTATGAAATCAACTGAAAACACAACAGTTCCAGAAATGAACAAATGGAAATGAAAATATGTCAACTGAAAAAGAAATACGGACAAATTATGTTAAAAAAAAAAAATAGTAAGCGCATGCACAAGTTACAAACCAAGTAGGTAAAGATGGTGTGGAAACTGCTTACAGAAGGCTCTGTGCTCTGTCTTCCTTGGGGTCTATTTAGCCCCGTGCCCGCCAAGACAGGCTAGCATTTGTTTGACAAGAAACACATGCTCCTGCCAGCGTGAGGCACCACTGCAAAGGGGGCGTTCATGGATGTGCGGAGTGGGTAAACAGAAACCACCAAAGGGTAATGTAGCTGATTCTCTTTAGGGCAATCTCACCACATATATATATATATATATATATATGTACACACATATATAATTTTATATATATATATGTAATATATCTAAAAATATAAATGCATTTATATATTACCCTTTAAACTCCTTTTGAAGAGTTTAGAAATTTATGCAATTATAACAGTTTAGCTTGTGAACCTAATTTCACCTAAACTCTTAAAGCTCAATGGACTTGCAGGAATGTAAAGCATCAACAAAAAACAGAGGTGTGAGCACTGAGTTAAGAATAAACAGGTGATAACTAAATGTGAAAAAAACAGCAGCGTCTTCACTCAATGAACTTCTGGGGTTAGGAAGCCTTCCCAGAATCCTTCCACTTTCTCTCAAGGTTTCTATGTCAGAAATAATGTGAGGATATCTGCTCTTGAGAACTTTTTTGTTCCTTCTATGGTCATAATGGTTTTAAAATAAGACGTTTTAGTTTGAATCTTGTATTTTGTGGTTTTGGTAAGATTTTAAGCAGTTTCAAGATGCCACAAGTCCAAGCTATCCCAGAAATCTTAAAAGCAGGTTTGTGAAAGGCTATTCTGTTGATTTTGAAAGGCTTTTTGCAGACCCGCCCAGAGCTGACAAATTCACAGCACATTAGGATCCTTTGCTCACATGGAAAACAACTGCCTTCATTTGTCCTAAACAGAATTTGATACTCATTGTGCTAATGGCTGTGTGAGAAATACCTAATAAGAAACAGCCTCTTCCCAGTCAATGTGTGCACTAGGTAGACAAGAAAAAGTGCTCATCTAGGATGAGGGGATGGCAAAATAAGGCTTAGAGATTGAAGGACTGGTGAAATACCTACTGGTTTACCAATAATATTTTGCAAAATCATCTATTTGAAGTTACATGAGCTTAATATTGGAAATGCTCCTGTTGGTTTAGTTGTCTCTCCTGAGTCCAGGAAAGGGGTAACTTGGATGAAAATTGAACTTGATGTACTTCAATCATACAGCATCGCCTTTGCCCCAGGGCTGTTTTCTCACAACTGTCTGAGCAGGACATAATGTTGAAGAGCTAGCAGGCCTAGTGCCAATCCCAGTCTATATCCACCTCCTCTTCCTTTCATGTTGCAGCTCTCCTTCGGAAAGTTGTCACTAAATGAAACAATATACATCAAAATTTACTTCAGCACTAATGGGACTGAAGCCTTACAAAGGAAATATTTGCAGATAAATTTTTGTGAAAGTTCATTTTAAAAATCATGAAATCATAGAATGGTTTGAGTTGGAAGGGGCCTTCAAGATCATCTAGTTCCAACCCCACTGCTGTGGGCAGGGACACCTTCCACTACACCAGGTTGCTCACCACATTCACAGTAAAAAATTTCTTCCATTAGGAAGAAACCTACCCTCTTTCAGTTTGAAGCCATTCCCCTTTGCCCTGTCACTCACCACATGCTCTTGGAACTAGTCTCTCAGCATCTTTCTTGTAGGCTCCCTTCAGGTAGTGGAAGGCTGCAATTAGGTGGTCATGAAGCATTCTCTTCTCCAACCTGAATAATACGAATTGTCTTAACCTTCCCTAAAAGGAGAGATGCTCCATCCCTTTAACCTACTTGGTGTCCCTCCTCTGGACTTGCTGTGAATGGGTCGATGTCCTTTGTGTGCTGGGAACTCCAGAGCTCAGTATGTCTAATATATTACCTAGTTACTGAACAACTTTTTAGAATAAATAACAACTACAGTTTTGTTTGGTTTTGTTTTTTTTTTTAGTTATGTACTTTAGTTTTCCCTGATTTCTGAAGGTTTGGGCATTTTTGTTTTGTTTTGTTTTGTTGGTTTTTTACTGAGCACATGTTAACACAAGGAGTTAACAGAATGTTTTTGAGACAATTCCTCTCAGCAATCACAGGCATCATCTGCAATTGTAAGCATGGAGACCACGTAATTAGCCCTTCCACCAACAAATCTTTTTGAGCAAGAAATGAAGTCAAGAAGTATTAATGATTGACAACATAGATGTGTCTTTGTCTGACAAAGAGAATGTATTTAAAAGCACCATACAGCAGATGTTCAGATGAGCTGCTCAAACCTATTTAGCCAAGGCTTTCCCTTTTGCAATATATATATATAGAATTAAAGTTGAAATTCACCTTAAAATTCGTGTGAAGCTAATTCTCAAGGCAAGAAGCTGCTCTATCACACAAGGCAACGGAATGTGCCATTTTTCATTATGCACTCTATTTTATAGCTGATAGCTCTTTAATACGAAGAGTCATCATCAATTATTTGAATAATTCAAGTTGCTTTTAGTTTTAAAAATCCATTCTGATTTTACCTGATATTTTCATCACTTATACTTAGTATACTTCCAGGACTAAGACCACAAATGGCCATTAAACAGAGAAAATTGAATTTTTATTTTCATTGGTCACAGAGACATTACTATGTACTTTTCAGTGCAAATAAACATCAAATACTTTAAAACTTTTGGATGCATGCATACCTCTTTTTAATTGGCCAAAAGTAAACAGCACATTTTTACAGGTTTTCCAAAGGGAAAACATTGGTTTAAGGATGATATAAAATAATTGTTTTTGTGTATTTCTGGCCTGGTTAATGGATTATGGATAATTTCTGTCACAGATTAATAGGACTACAATAATTAGCTTCAGAAAATTGCATATGTCTGGAAGAAACTTCAGCAAAAAGCTCAGGGTTCTATACAGTTCTATAATACTATGCATTAAATTAAAAAAAAAACAAACCCACAACTTGTTAGCAGTAGGGATATTCAGTCACTAAACAATGAACACCCCACGTAGTCCAGTCATTAACTACAGTCATGCAGAGAGAAACTTAAAATCCCAGGGAAAGGATTTTTTAGCATCCCACGGATAATAGCAGGTTATAGAACAAGCTGGTTATTTTATCTGCAGCTGGCTGCAAAACATGATCCATATTCCCAGGGAATTGCCCTCTCCTTGTGTCACCTCAGTTTTGTGGTCATGCTGGATGCTTAATGGCCAGTATGAAATGTTCCTTTAGAGTTCACTACCTGCTGTGCTTGGAAGTGCACATCGGTGCTGTCTGTCCACTGTGGGCAGTCCATTAAAGTGATGTTCATTCATTCATGGGCCATATCAGAGGAACAGTTGTCATAATCTGCCTGAGCGAGAAAAGTGCAACACACTGCTGGCTGAAGAAAGTGTAGCCGGCGTCCTCAGTAATTTTGAGGGTTATTCTTTTCTAGACAGGTGACATTTTGGTTTGCCTTACTACTATTTATCCAGTGCATTCACCCATATGTCGCTTAAAATTTGCTTTGCTTTGAATGTAGCGCAAAAGAATCAGAGCTCTGAAAAAAAATCCTTTCTCCTTTTCCACCCTCTCATCTGAAATTCAGCTTCTCTGGCAATATCCCATTCACCTAATGGCAGGCCCTGTGCAAATTGCTGCCAGAGCTTGTCAGCTCATTGGTATATTACTAATTTCTTCTTTCAAAGTTGGCAAATTCTAAGCATGTCTGGAGGTGTAGGGTATGAACATGGCAGCAATATGCCAATAGCACAACTCTCAGTAAATCCTGCAGTCTCTTGGCCTGGAATACCTTAGATCCTATTGATGCTTGCCTCCCTTTTTTATAAATGACTGTAAGCCCCAAAACTGATGGTTTGAATGGCTGGCATCTCCAGCTGTCCCCTTTCCAAGAGAGGGGCAGACTAGCAGCTGCTTGAACTTGTGTTTTTATGTACAGAAGATTTTCTTAACCTGCCGGGTTCCAAATGTTACTTTGCATTGAATTATTTTCCTTGTACTGAGATTTTTTTTTTTTTAATGGCAATATATCAATGCAATTACATTCATTAAGAAAAGGTATGTAACTTAGGAGGGTGTAACTAACAGAAAAGGAGCCAAAATCAATAAGAAAGAGGAAGTAAAACAGGGAGATTGATGATAAGCCAGTGCTAGATGCAAAAGATCCAAACTTTGGACTTTCCACTTGTAGCTTATATAAACTTTCCAGATAAGCATGTTTTTTTCATAGAGTGTCTACTTTTTTCAGTTGCCTTCTATTCTCAAGAGATACACTGCCCTTACACCTTTCACTGTACCACCCAGACTGACCTAACTATCTGTCTGGAGCCAATATTATCCATTTTCATACTAAGTCTGAGCACCTAAGCCTCATATCATGTAGCAGAAGAATCACACATTCCTATGCAGTATCCCAGGAATATCTTCTCATTTATATAGAGGACTAAAGTAGGTAAAATGTGTGCAAGACAATTAAGAAAAGGAGAAGAGGCATCAGTAATGATATGTGGCACTCTGATTGCTGCTCTATCTCTATAAAGTACTGACAGATGGTAATCAGGTTAAAACAGGATAAAATGGTAGAAGATTACTAAGATACAACCTTTTACTTAAATTTTTATTACTGGAAGGTAAAAGGGGAATATTTCAATGTTCCACAGCAATTATTAAGATATTTTCACCAGATTTATTTCTTAGTCTTCACCTAGTGAGATAGATCACAACTTTAAAAACCTTGTAACATGTAAGTACCACATTTCTCTGCAGCACTGTGCTGAAAGAAGCATCCTCTCACAAGTTGCCTTAGAAAGGGAAATTTTTATTATGGTCTTTGCTACTGAACTCTCTCCTCATTTGATCGGTGATGTGACATC